CTTTTATTAGCACCCAGCTCATGGTTTGATATACATCCATTCAACTAGTATTGATTATGCAGGGATTTAGACAATTAAAACTAGAAAAACAAAACAAAATTAGTAACCTAAACTTTGCTACAGACTACATTTTAAATGTTACTTACTTAAATGTTAACTGTTACTAGAAATAATAAATAATTAGACGATTTTTTAAATAATTTTGTGTATATTTTGTTCATGAGGCGCAATGCCGTGGATTATAAGCCGATAAATGGTAGACCGCTAGTTAGTCATTGTTTTATTTTTTTACTATATTGTAATTAATCATATTAGACAATGATTAAAACTAAATATTCTTGTGTAAACTTCGAGGATTAGCCAATTTAATTTACCATCGGAAACTGTTTTCATATCAGTTTTTCCATGTTTACTTATTTTTCTAAAGCTCAGACAATGTTTGACTTTGATTGCCTCGTGCTATTTCACAAAATATTTTACAAAATAGCACGATAAATATAAGCCCGTGTTATAAAAATGAGTTTCTACGTTTCCTGAAATTGATCGAGACGCGCCGTGATTGTTTTTGTTTGTTTTTTATTGTTAATCTGGGGTTAACAATATAAATATTTCTGAAAATATTTCGTGAAATATTTCGGGGATAGGTTAGTGGCTGTCTCATATCTTATATTTCTTAAGTGAAAAACAATTTTGAGGTCCGCTTGTTCAGTTTCCGGAAATTTCTTTATAGTGCTTGGAGAGAATACGATGTTGTCACCTCCTACGGAATACAGAATTGGGATTCCGTAGGAGGTGACAACATCGTATTTTGTTTGTTTTTTATTGTTAATCTGGGGTTAACAATATAAATATTTCTGAAAATATTTCGTGAAATATTTCGGGGATAGGTTAGTGGCTGTCTCATATCTTATATTTCTTAAGTGAAAAACAATTTTGAGGTCCGCTTGTTCAGTTTCCGGAAATTTCTTTATAGTGCTTGGAGAGAATACGATGTTGTCACCTCCTACGGAATCCCAATTCTGTATGTTTAAGTCCACAGTTTTAAATTTCGACAAAAAAATACTTTAATTAATCTTATTCATTGTCATTGTAGATTAGTAAACTGAAATAATAAAAAATTATAGCAATTTTTTTCGCTATATTACGAAATATTTTTAATATTTAGTTTATCACAACAGTTAGGTTATAATGTATAAATATTTTGTGATAATGCTTACTCTAAGCAGTATTTTATCCAGCATATTACGCAAACACGTACACATCCACATATCTATTAAACTGAACATCACATATAACTGTTTGCAGAATATTATTTTAATTTAAACATATCAAACAATTATACATAAATACATAAACACAAGCTGCATATTAACTTATGATATAAATGTACTAAGATAGATATTCCACCGAGAAGAGACTCCATGACACTGATTAAATCAAATATTTTTTCACATCTTTATGAATTTTTTGATTATTGCATTTTAGGTTATCCAATTTATTGCAGACCAGTTTTTCCCGTGCCTTCGTTCGCATAAAATTCAAATTTTATTAATATACAGTGTAATATTTAATATAGCACCTAGTGGCTATGTTTAAAAGTAGGTATTACATGATGTGTCTAGTTGTCATGATAGTCCATTATTATAGCACTTAATGGCAATATTAGAAAGTACCTATTGCATGTTTCTAATTGTAGGTTAAAGGCTGTTGTTAGGATTTTTATATATTATATTGCTAATTTTTCTTTAAATTCATTAGATAATTTGAACTTGTTCAGTAAATCTTTGTAGTTAGGTTGTTAAATGTATTAAAAATATTTACCAACAAAAATAAACACGTATATGCGCTTAACATAATAATTTCTAATTAGAAATAAAATTTTAGGCACAGCTTTTAATATAATGAGCCATTTGGGAATTATAGAGTAGTATATTACAGAATAATATTATAATCTCTTTGGAATATATAAAATAATTATGTTTTCCGTTGGTCTCTCTAGATTTTATATATTAGGTAAAATCGATATTTAAATTTACTTTTATTTAGACAATACAGGGTATCCCAGAAATAAATGCAAGTATTTTAACTGGGAGTATAGTTCAACCCCAGAAACACGCTTATGGGCTTGTATAATAAATTCGGAATTTTTAAAAAAAAATTTTGGATTTTTTTTGGTTTTTAGTTAAAAAACATAATTTCTTGATAATATGGCAACATAGGTAGTAGATTAAATTTACAAGAAAGAAAATCCAAAAAAGATCCAGTGGTTCTCAACATTTTAGCAAAAAATATTTTTTTTTGGAAATTTTCACAGTAAAATAACTCCGTTATTTTGGACTTATTTGAAAAACGATAAAGAGAAAATATATTTCTTTTATCGAGATCTATCACCCCTGAAAATACTTGCACTTATTTCTGGGACACCCTGTATATTATGTTATTCTTAATTAAAATTACAGATGTGTTTTAATATCTAGTCGGCATTTTAAAAGAAATTATGACGTACTTTTTATTAACACGTAAAAGCATACAACAAAATAGTTTCAAACAAGACAAATACTCTAAAAAGCTATTCTGGCATTTTAACTCAGGTTGCGAATCATAACCTTTTAAATTGTGACAAGTTTAAATTTCCAGATATTCATGTAGCTATATTTTCAGTTACAAACTATGCTCTGATTTATCCTATTAAAATGCTAATTACATCAAACGTGATAGTCACTAATTTAGTTACTTATTCACATTTGTGGATTCGTAAACCTATTATGTATTGACAATTGTCACATGTCGATATAAATTTGGTTTGATCGTAGACAAAGCTAGCGAAATTTTTGGCTTTATTATAAATTATTTGTTTATTTATTTATTTATTGACCATGATATGGCCGAGGGCCGCGGTTCGGATTCCGCGTGAACAAAGTAGGCTGTATGCAATCTGTACGGAGATGAGCCGGAGCCGGAATCTGTACGGAGATGAGCCCTGGCAGCAAAAAGGAGACGTTAACTGAATGAAATCTTTACTTTTACTAAAAACTGTCAATTTTAAATAAAATTGAAGTGATATATAGAAATTTAGTAGGCCAGCCTTTAGTTAGAGATCTTAATTAGAAAATTATTAATCATAATATATTAGTATATATTTGATAAATTACATTGATCTTTTGTATAAAATTATAAAACTAAAAGTAAAAATAATGAAAAATTTTGATATTTTTTACGTTATATAGGGATGTATATTTTCAGATTATATTGTATTAAAAATATATTAGGCTAAATTTTCTGAAAGCTAAATTGCTGTCAGTCATTTCTAACTGAATATTCAACAATTTCGGGTAAATATTACCAAAAAGCTCAAGTTCTTTACAAGTAAAAAAAACAACCACAAAATGACAAGATGACAGAAAATCAATATGCTTTTTTCTTTTGGGATTTTTTTAGAAGTAATGTAAATGAATAAATATTTTTTGATAATGTAATTATATTTTTATTAAACTAAAAAAAATAAGTAAAAAACTGTTTATCATTATTTTAAGGGAATGTTTTACTATAAACGATTAATTTATATGTTGTTACTTATTAAATTTAAAAAATTCAACGTCATCTCTCTCTACAATAAGTAGTAAATTAGGTTGTATATACAGGGTCTTTCAAAAAACATGTGCCGTCTCTCGTGGGTAGATTTCTCACGCAAAAATAAGATTAATTTTTCTTACCAACATATGTAGGTCCGATTCTTCTGCTTTGTTTCGTAGCTACAGTGTGTAAAAGTCTTAATATTTTCTTGATTTATGATAATTTTTTTCCAAGTACTTTTAGCGTTTTGAATGAAATTTTGATGGTAAAAGTTACTATAACTGCGATATATTTAAAGCTAAAAAAGTATCGACCCATTCACTAGAAACGTGCACATGGGTTATCACTGGAATGTTTTTCTAAAAACAGCATGTACGCCACTGACTTTTTTTTTCTCTTGTTAACGAAATAGTGTAAGCAGTTTAATGCCGATTAAAAGTTGTCTCTTGATATTTTTGATATAGTCTAATAGCAATCTTTAACAAATTTTAATATCATTAACTTGCGAAAGTTTTAAATAAGTACTCATTAATTCCCCATCAAAAAATATGAAAAAAAGTTCCTTTTTACATCGGTATGGAAATGCATAGTTTTAGACTTACAGGATGTTAAATCTTTTAAAAATTAGGGTTATTGTAATTATCTTAAATACCATTATTTTTTTATTTGAAATTGCTGTATGTTGGACTAATACCGTATGATCGAAAAAAAGGCGTCCAGTTGGCTGGGAAATGACGATCGATGACATTTCCCATATAAATTTACATATAAAATGACAGCGATCTTCATTTCATAGCCATCGTTGACGCCGTTTTTTCTCGATCATACGGTAGTAATAATAACTAACAGTAATACTATTTTATAATAAATTAGGTATAATATATAATTTATTAATTTTATTTTAATTTTATTAATTGTGATTAATAAAATTGCGTTTATCTCATCAAGGAGGTCGAATTCGAGAAAATATCAACAGATAACTTTTAATTGGCATTAAACGGCTTCACAATAATTGTAATATCAAAAGAAAAAGGTCAGTGGCGCACATGTTTTGTTTTTAATATTCTATTGATAACCCATATGTACCTCCCTGATGAATTTATTGACACTTTTCAGCATTAAAATATGTAGCACTTATAGCAACTTTTACCATCAAACCAAACCAAATCACTAAAAGTACTTGAAGAAAAATTATAAGAAATCGAAAAAATATTAAGATTTTATCACGCTGTAGCTACGAAACAAAACAGAATCGGACCTACGTTGATATGAAAAATAAATCTTATTTTTACGTGAGGAATCCCCCCACGAGAGATGGCACATGTTTTTTGAAACACCCTGTACAATAGAATACAATAGTTAATACAAATTCTTATAGGTAGTAGGTAACAGTGATTATATAATAATTTTTGTACACTTTGTTACAGATGGATAGACAACACTACCTTTTGAAATACTCAATAAGCAGCAGAAAACGCAAGCCAGTGCTAAAGCAGTTGTAAGAATGCTAAATAGAGAAACAATGTAACGACTTGATGGTGGACTAGTTCCGAAAAATGGGCAGTTTACCAAACTTGCACGAGTTGGGAAAAAATGAAGATACTGGAGAATCAAGTAAGACACTAAATTAGATTATAGTCTATAGATTAGTTAATAAAAGATAATTTTTTAGACATATATTATTTAAGGCAACGAAAAAATAATATTAAGAAAACGTTCCATTGAATACACAACTCATTGAATTTTAATTTCTTAATTATTTATTACTTACCATTCACGAAAAATACATTCACGATTACCTGCCAAAAGCTGAAATCCGATTTAAATAATTGGTTATTTTAGCATCTTTACATCATACTTTATATTTCGGTCCGCAAACAGATTTTACAGTAATATTTCCGGTGTTATTTTGAATGTGCTTGACAATGATTCAGCATTGAAACTGAAAGAATTTCGGACTTCCATTGTCTTTATTTATTTTGCTTCCACAACGTTTCGGTCAGAAATATTACTGACTGTTATCAAGTGTGAACAATGCGCATTTTATTGTGCAATGCCGATTTTATTGTTTCACCTTTTTGCGTATATTTTTTATGTTTGTCAAGTCGTACATGTAGAGGACGTTTTGTCTCGCCAATATACCACTCACCGCACTCGCAAGGTACCTGGTAGATGCACTCTTTCTCTTGTTTTGATGATTCCGGTTTTGTTTTTGTTAGGGCACTTCTTCGAGTAGTTCCAGACTTAAAAACAATTTTATTTGTTTACTGCTTGGATATTCGCCTGATCTCCGATATTCCGTTCACATATGGTCAAGAGAGAGAGAGAGAGAGAGAGAGATAGAGAGATAGAGAGATAGATAGAGAGAGAGAGAGAGAGAGAGAGAGAGAGAGAGAGGGGGGAGAGAGGGAGAGAGAGAGAGAGAGAGGGAGAGAGGAGAGAGGGAGAGAGGGAGAGAGGGAGAGAGGGAGAGAGGGAGAGAGGGGGGGAGAGAGAGAGAGAGAGAGAGAGAGAGAGAGAGAGAGAGAGAGAGAGAGAGAGAGAGAGAGAGAGAGAGAGAGAGAGCATCTTCCTCAGGCTGGCGCACCAACAAGTCAGGTTTGCAAACGGATTGTCGAGGGATTTGGCAGAGTAACCATTCTGATGCTAATCGGTTTTGATATTAAGGCGCATTCTCACGATTCGTGTCCTTGACAAACATTTGTTATGGGAATATAATCGCCATGTCGTGAGAACGGTTTCCTTGGTTACTCGTCGCGTCCCTACTTGCTGTCGGTAAATATAGCCCGAGTCAAAGGATCACAATAATTATGCCCGGACCCTATTAGCCAACACGCTACGCCATGCGATTCCATGCTACCCACGTCATGAAGATCAGTGCGTATGTTTTTCCATTTAATTACATGTAATGCGTACACACTAGGCAACACGCCACGCCATCTGATGCTATAAAACGCTATGACACGTGTGATGGTCGATTCGTCGGTCCCAGATCTCACCGAAGTGTGTTACTGCGTGTTGTTCCCCGCTTGCTTCTCTAGTCCCCTTCTTCAAATACATTTTCTAAATCTAGTGTCCTTTTTTTTTAATTTTACATTCCACAAGATTATGTAAATATTCAAATTGTTCTCTGTCCATACAAAAGTACATATGATACCGATTAGGATCTGTATGAAAGGCACCATATTTATTGCGTTTTTTGTTTATTTTATGTACCCAAAATGGCTTTACATCAAGAATACAACAAATGGGGACTTCAGGTTAGTCTAAAGAAGACCGAATACTTAGCTGTCAATTCCAACGCTTGTTTTGAAGTCTTCATTAATGATAACGTCCAGATTCAACAAGTAGACAAATTTAAATACCTGGGTGCTACTATCAACAACGAGGGTTTGGGCAAAGAAGAAATACAAACCCGAATTCAGAAGAGCAAACAAGTTATTGGATGTCTTAACAGCCTCTGGTGGGACCGAAACTTATCTGCAACAACTAAAAAGAGACTTGGAAGAACATTGGTGGAGTCAGTTCTTTGCTATGGTTCAGAGCTATGGACTCTGAGTGCAGACGCGAAACGCAAAATCGAAGTTGTTGAAATGGACTACCTTAGAAGAAGCGCAGGTATATCAAGCCAATGGAAAAAAAGACAAACATCGAGGTCAGGCGTATCATGAATGCATCGGAGGAGACAGTACTGGATCGAATCGAAAAATCCAGCTTAAAATGGTTTGGACACGTTCTGCGTATGCCGGAGAACAGGTGGCCAAAAAGAGTTTTTCAATGGGCTCCCCAGGGCAGAAGAAAGAGAGGTAGACCTAGAAAATCCTGGAACGGAACGGTTACGGAAGCAATGGAAGCTTGTAACCTAGAAGCTGATGACGCTCTAAATCGAGATGTGTGGCGTAGGGTACAGGAAGGCAGCAATAGGCTGTAGTTGGAAATGAGTATTAAATACTTAAACCAAATCCCGTTTATATATATATATATATATATATATATATATATATATATATATATATATATATATATATATATATATATATATATATATATATATATGTATATATGTACCCAAAATCTTCTTTTATTACACTTTCTAATACAATAGCAGTCTAATACAATAGCAGCACCTGTACACTTCACTAAAAATTCTTCGTCACTGGAAGAACTGTTTGAATCAAAATCAAAAATAACTTTTCAAAATCAAAAATAACTTTTTTTGTTATAACTTTTCTAATGGTTATTTTCGAATGCAATAGAAAACAAAAATATTTTTTTGAGTGTTCAATCAGTAAGAATACAAATTCTATGATTAATTTTAAAATTTAATAATCAAAAATTAAGGAAAGAAGGTTAATGCAGATTGTGAAGTTAAGGTATTATGATTATAATCTAATGTCGGTATGGGTATCGATACACTGTAAAAAATCAGCCTGAGTGAACACATATTTCTCAGGGAGTGAATTTTTTGAGTGAAATAATTGAGTACATTTTTATCTAAAATAGAGTAAATTCATCATTTTACTCAAATATGATCTCTATTTAATCAATAGCTATTGAATAAGCTCATGTTCGAGTTATAACCCCTATCTTTGAGTAATGGAATAGAAAAATTCACTTAAAACTCATGTTATAGTTTTACACAATAAAAATTTGAGTGAAATCACCCAGTTTAGAGTATTTTCGCTCATTACTAATCATACGTCATACGCGCTTCTTCGATACCGAATAAGCTATTTCCCTGTTCCTCAGTTTTTAATTATCTGTTCGAGTCGTAGGTTGTCTTGTTCCTTCGAAGGTGCCCAGGTTACAAGTCCATAGTGTATGTGTGTGTGATGTAAAGTGTGACAGTGGCCGCGTGGCGTGGTGAAGCGAATACGAACTCATAACTCCTAAATATGTTTTATGTTAAGAACATTTTTTTTCACATCGCAGAAATCCGCCTAACATATATTCAAATTCGACTGCGTCTACTGATTGCCGCAATGCTCGGATGTTTCCTGGACTAATTAGCGTAGCGAAAATCTAGGTACTTTCCCTCAATCTGGAACTGGGAACTGGAACATTTGGCAGAATAACATTTTTTTTTAATTTTCAGGAGGAAAAGTATCTGGATTTTCCGGAGGATTTTCGTTATTAAAAGTTAGTTTAGAAATTAGAAATATTCGAGAATGTTGGTAGCCGAGCTGACGAATGCTCTTAATAAAGCGGATTTTTGCGATGTGATGCAACTTTTCTAGACATCTAGCTTAAAAAGTTCCTGTATTTTTTCCAAAAAGAGTTGAAAACTTTTTAAAATGTTTTTGATATTATAATAATAGTGTTATATTTGGTTTTATTTGTTTTTTTGTCAAATAAAAATGACAAATAAAAATATTTTTGAAGGTTCTACAGTTTTTTATTTGGTTTGTTAAAAAAAACGAAATATTCTAAATGATTTTTTTAAAAGCTATGTAAGCTAACTTGTTATTTTATTACAAGTGACCAGATGCCTCCCAAAAGTGAATTTTAGGAAATGGACATGTTCGAGACCATGTCCTAAACTGAAACTTACCTTTGAAAGGCACCTGCCCACCTGTTATAAAATAACAAGTTAGCTTACATATAGCTTTTAAAAAAATAATTTAGAATATATTTCTCAATACTGAGTGAAATTAATACTCAGATATGAGTACTAATCGAGTTAAGTGTAACACAAATTTGAGTAAAAGTCACTCAATAAAAGGTGTCTTGAACTCAACACTTAGTGAGTTCACTCATTTTAAGTGAATAAATTATCAAAATCGATCAAAATCCTACTCAAGGTAAACAATAATGAGTAAAAAAGGAGTCTTTCGTCTAATCTCGATTGAGTGAAAACACTCAGTGCTTTTCACTCTGAGAATTGAAGATTCACTCGGTTCTGTAGAGTGGAAATTTCACTCAATCGGGTGTGGACAGAAATTGAGAAAGTATTGAGTGTAATCTGAGTGAAATTTCACTCATTTTTTTTACAGTGTACTTCTAGTATTTTCGTATCTCTACTGACAACTTTTTTAACTCTAATAAAAATTTTAGGCGTGTTAACACGTGTTACCTAATGTGTACACCCATTCCCACGTCACAACACGTGGGATAGCATGGCATCGCGTGGCATTACGTCGGGTGTTGGCTAATGCGGTCCTGGCTTTATTCGTACACTTGCCAAGTGTACTTGGCCAGCCTTGTCTATACTTGCCGAGGCGCAAATAATTGTACTGTTATAGAGTATGTCCCGTTTATTTCTGGATCGCAGTGTTTTTCCTGTTAATTTAGGACAATTTAAAACGTTAAAACAATTATAGATTTTATAATATCAAATTTACATTAATAACTTCAATATTGGCGACATACCTAAATCGTTCTCACAGCAATAAATAGAGTGGACAAATGAAGACTCCACTGGAAAAACCAGATATGTCACATTTTCATAGAAATTAAGATAGCGATACAACTTTATTCACAAATTAATGTTAACGTCATTCGAGAAAAAATAAAGCAATAATACGCCTAGTCCCCATATTACAGCTTGGTTATTTTGCCGTACAAAGGAAAAACCAGAGTAGTCCACGCGTAAATAGCAAAAACCAGAGATGTAC